TAATCAGATTTGATTTCCAACCTTTTTTTTTTTTTAGGTATTCCTGACGAAGGACTTCCAAGGAGGTTATCTGAATGCTTTTATGTTTCTCCAACTTTTCGAAGAGATGGAGGGAATGGAGGAAATGGAGGGGACGGAGGGGCGGCAGTAGCCTCCATGGAGTCAGTCATTAGGATAATCAGTTTCATTACGGAATGGAGTAATGGCGGGGCACTGGCCACTTCACTTTCATTAATCTGAGACCGTATTTCAAGGGCGAAACGTCGTAAAGGGAGGATGGGAGCGGTACAACAGACTCGAACCTTTGGACGACGTGTCGCTCAAAAGAAACAATTTTCCACGATTTGGAAAACCTCTCCTGGGGGTGAAACATCGTCCCCAGGATTCTCCGAAGGTACCTCGATACCAGCAAAGGGCTCTTGATTCAAGGAAGTTGAGACCTCCCCTCGGGGAAGGATAGAAACGTGTAATAAAACTATCAAACTATCCAAACAGAGGACACAACAAAAAAACTATTAGTTACTATCAGTCAATGGTAGTTGTGTCTCGCAGCGCCGCCCTGACCGTCAACTGTCAGTCCTGCTGACAGTCAGCCAGTGTTAACCAGTCATTACGACAGCAATTACCATCAAGATGGGTGACCCATCGGTCTCAGGCCAAACTACCGACCGTTCTAATTAATAGAAGATCGTTTCAATGGTCCATTGCCCTGGTCCACTGTCCGGTCCACCTGATTTACTGTCTGGTCTACTGTCAGGTCCACGGCTCGGTCCACTTCCTGGTTCACTGTTTGGTCCACGGTTCGGTCCACCTCCTGGTCCATTGTCTGGTCCACGACCCTGTCCACCTTCTGCTAAATTGTCTGGTCCACGGCCCGGTCCACCTGGTCCACAGTCCGGTCCACCTCGTCCACAGTCCGGTCCACCTGGTCCACAGGACTGGCAATTTAATTCGTTTCCTCAGTTTATATCTCCATCATATTCAGGGGAAGCGCTAAACCAAGAGGGATCATACATTAGCTAAAGGGAAAACAAAGGGAGGATGTCTCCACCCCCTGGATCAAGAGCCCTTCACCAGCCTCAGCTCTCCTGACGCACCGGAGATCACGTGACTCATTACTGAGGTAAAAACGCTCGTTAGAGAGACATAAATAGTGGTTCGGTGTAGTTAAGTAACCATCACGACCAGTGATTGTTACCAGGGATTTAATGCCCTCGTCTGAGTGGCCCTTAACTGCCTCAGAGAGAGAGAGAGAGAGGAAATGTCTCTTAACTGTCTCAGAGAGAGAGAGAGAGAGGAAATGTCTCTTAACTGCCTCAGAGAGAGAGAGAGGAAATGTCTCTTAACTGCCTCAGAGAGAGAGAGAGAGAGAGAGAGAGAGAGAGAGAGGAAATGTCTCTTAACTGCCTCAGAGAGAGAGAGAGAGAGAGAGAGAGAGAGAGAGGAAATGTCTCTTAACTGCCTCAGAGAGAGAGAGAGAGAGAGAGAGAGGAAATGTTTCTTAACTGCCTCAGAGAGAGAGAGAGAGGAAATGTCTCTTAACTGCCTCAGAGAGAGAGAGAGAGAGAGAGAGAGAGAGAGAGAGAGAGAGAGAGAGAGAGAGAGAGAGAGAGAGAGAGAGAGAGAGAGAGAGAGAGAGAGGAAATGTTTCTTAACTGCCTCAGAGAGAGAGAGAGAGAGAGAGGAAGTGCTTCCGGCTATTTTGTTTACACCTTACTAGCGTTTACTGAATGGGAAATATTAACACACACACTTGCACACAGGTGTCACAGACTCAGACAAGAGACTTCAATGCTTGTGAGTCTGGTTTCTCCTGGTATCATCTAGGTGTTGTCTTCTCTTATCTCTTCCTTTTCGCACCTTTGTTAGGTATCCCTGAAGGGATACTTTTAACTGTTTGTCAGCTTTTTTAGAACTTGAGAACGCCTCATCCGATCGGCTTGAAATTTTCAACGCTAGTGTACTGTAACTATGGCGAGGTTTATACAACTACTGTAATGTTCAGGAGTTATATAGAACATTCCCGGTTTTAGCTTCTGTGAGATAACTGAAGAAAGGTTAATCAGATCGGCATCAAACTTTGTACACTGGAGTATCCTGCTCAGAGGAAGGCTGGGATTCTTACTGGAGTTTGTAGACGCAAATCGGACAATTCTGCTTAATAAAATGGTGTATTTCTGCGAAATATTTTGGCTGTGTCTCACCTGGACGACTTCGATTGACAGCGGCTGGTGGATATTTTGTAAACAATATTATTCTGCAAATTTAGGATGTTTGGATATTTGAGATGTTTGAGTGGAGATTTGTCAGTATACTAACATAGTTAATACACTTGGTTAGGTTAGGTCAGGTTTGTCAGGCAAGAGGACAAGTGTTTCCTGACTCGGGTCTTAGTCACATGATGACCCACAGCTGGAGCTCTTTTGGTACACTTGGAAATGTTGGGCTCTGCGTGATAACTGGAGAATGATTCTTCTGGTCTGCTTCAAACTTTTATCCCTGGTGTGTTTTTTTCCCCAGTGGAAAGTTTATTCTGTCACTGAGAGGCGTTTAGTCGTAGTTTTCCCATTGTTAAACAAACTGTGATATTGATCATCCTCCAGTAGTTGGAGGATGCCTCTTCGGATCGACTTCAACCTTTAACATTGACGTATCTTAGAGAAGGATTCGGATTAGTCTTGCGTCGTGTATATGCCAGTTTTCTAATGTAATATAAATGGTGAAAAAACTAGAAATCAGATTTCATGTGACTGTTGAAGAATGCCTCTTCTGATAGACTTCAAACTTCAAAACTGGTGTGTCTTAGAGAAAGATCTAAATTGCTCTTGGGATGTACAAGTGCCATTATTGCAATGTCTGGTCCTCTTAAAGGTGTTGAGTTACAGGTCCTGACCCCTTAGAGGATTTTCATTTACAGATGTGGAGCGAGTTGAGAGCTTAGATTAGTTGGTTAGTGGAGTTTAAAGCCTATCGACTACAGGAGGATCATTAAGGCCTCACATAACCTTATTACCATGAAACAAAAATACTGTAATCCCATATACATGTATAGGGATTAAATACACCTCTCGGTGTATTTACATAAAAATGGGGGAGGGGGAAAGGAAGTGTAGAAAATGGATAAGTTTACCATTAAAAACTTACGCCCCCAAAAATTGGAATAACTATGTAAATATAAATTATACCAACTATTATACATACATATCACCTTAACAAATAATAATATAGTTATCATTGTTAATTTATTGTTAATATAAGACAAAGGCATATATAGAAAAGCGAAGTCTCCCCTTATCCAATTTTCTACGCACAGACAGCTATCAGGGAGAACTAAGGCAATTTCGCAGTGTTGGTGACAGATAGTCAATGGGCTGGTGACAGGTCTATCATCGCGCTGACAGCTGGGCGTGCCTCGCTTGTTTTACTAACCAGTTAATCCGTAATTGTGACTCGAATTGGCTTAATTATACGCTAAAGTTCCCGTTCCACCGGTGACATTATCTTCATCATTTCCAGCATTATATTTGTTCACTGGCAAGTCCTATCGTAGCCGTGACTGTTTTAATTGTCATGTTTTATGCAGGATATACAGGTATACATTGAGAGGCATCTCTTAATGTATATATATACACTGATGGGTGTATATCTATGTGTATACACTAAGAGATGTGTGTGTGTTATACACTGGTAGCTACCATCCAGGACCACGGTTCGAATCACTGTTCATTTTTTTTATTCATTGACAGTTGTCTAACATGACTTGAAGCATTTGAGATGTAGACTCTGAGATGGCAGCTATGTTGTTCTTTTTCCATTGTATTTTGGTTAATGTGTGTACTCGCCTAATTGTGGTTGCAGGGGTCGATTCATAACTCCTGGCCCCGCCTCTTTACTGGTCGCTACTGGGTCACTCTTTCTGCTCCATGCGCTTTATCATACCTCATCTTAAAGCTATCTATGAATCCTGCCTCCACTACATTACTTCCCAAACTATTCCACTTCCTGACAACTCTGTGACTGAAGAAATGCTTCCTAACATCCCTGTGATTCATCTGAGTCTTAAACTTGCAACTGTGACCCCTTGTTGCTCTGTTCCATCTCTGGAACATCCTGTCTCTGACCACCTTGTCAGTTCCTCTCAGTATTTTATATGTCGTTATCATATCCCCCCTTATCTCTCCTGTGTGTGTGTGCAAAACTACCAATTTCTAAAATATATAAGATAAGATTTCGTTCGGATTTTTAACCCATGAAGGTTAGTCACCCAGGATAACCCAAGAAAGTCAGTGCGTCATCGAGGACTGTCTAACTTATTTCCATTGTGGTCCTCAATCTTGTCCTCCAGGATGCTACCCACACCAGTCGACTAACACCCAGGTACCTATTTGATGCTAGGTGAACAGGACAACAGGTATAAGGAAACGCGTCGAAATGTTTTTACCCCGCTGGGAATCGAACCCGGACCCTCTGCGTGTGGATTATTATTATTATTATTATTATTATTATTATTATTATTATTATAATCAAGGGGAAGCTCTAAACCCGGAGGATTATACAGCGCCTGGGGGGGGGGGACGTGGAAGGCATTCAGGCTTACTTCGGGGAACTGGAGCACAGATCCAATTCCCTAAATCAAGAGCCCCTCACCAACATCAAGGAACCTTCCTTGAGGGGTCTGCGTGTGGAGCGAGAGCTTTGCCAGCCAGGACGCGGGGTCACCAATGAGCAACATTGTAGCAAGTCAAGCATAGCAAGTAGCATTGTCAAGTCTAGCAAGATTTTGCCTGGTCCAGGGTTTATGTAGTGGGAATCTGTTAATTGTACTTAGTCATTTACTTCCTTTTACTGTAACTATCATGTTACCTAAAAAACAATATCGTAAATAGCTATACGTGTTGCATTTGTATAAATATTTTTTTTTTTTTTTTTTTTTTTTTGGGGGGGGGGGGAAGGGATACACGAGAGTAGTCAAGCGTTGGTTGAACAGTAGTTGTCGCCTGTGTTAACTAGTGAGGTGTTGACTGGCACCCATCCATGACTGACCCAAGTTGAGTCAGTGTGAGCCAAGGAACACTAGTAAACACTGCCTGACCTCCCTCCTGAGTGACACACAGCATATATACCCACACACACCGAAAGGTGTGTTATTCCTTTCAGCGTTTTAGGAATTAAATCATTCTCGATTTGGTGGTGTGCAGGTGACGTGCGGCCTTAATGACCCTCGTGTGGTAAGTTTATTCAGATATACCTGGAGAGGGTATCAACGCCCCCGCGTTTATTCAGATATACCTGGAGAGGGTATCAACGCCCCCGCGTTTATTTAGATATGCCTGGAGAGGGTATAAAGGCCCCCGCGTTTATTCAAATATAACTGGAGAGGGTATCAACGCCCCCGCGTTTATTCAAATATACCTGGAGAGGGATCAACGCCCCTGCGGCCTGGTCTGTGACCAGGTACACATAAATACACTTACATAAATTATCATACATAGCAGCATATGTGCACATTACCCGGGATAACCCAAAACTAATCAGACTTATTTCCACTGGAGTCCTTGTAGTAAACAGATTATAAAACCCAATTAACCTCAACCGAATGACAAATCGTGTGGTGGATACCTATAAACATTTGTGTTTACAAGTGTTCCTGACGTCAGCTCCGTTTACCAGCCGGTGAGTTGAGAAAAAATTCTTGTCATGAGTGACCAAAGACGTTAATGCTAGTTTATTCGTAGCGAATTATTGTCTCGCTAACTTCCTAACAACTTAGTTGATGTTATTAGTTAAATTCCAGAATTTCTCCTATTGCTTTAGAGTGTATTTTGCATTGGTATTTGATTACCTTTTACTGAGAATTGGTAATTTTACGAATATACGGAGGGATATACTTGGATAAGTGAGATATACTTAGATGAGGATATACTTAAGAGGGATACACTCGGAAAAGAGGAATACATACCCTCAGAAAGAGGAATATACACTAAGAGGGATACATACACGCAGAAATAGGGATACCCAGAGAAAAGGATACATGCGCTCAGAGGGATAAATACACACAAAGTGGGATACATAGTCAGAAAGAGGGATACATGCACTCAAAGAGGGATATACTCGGAAAAAGAGGGATACATACTCAGAAAGAGGGATGCATGTACTCAGTAAGAGGGATACATACTCAGAGGGATACATACACAGAGGGATACATATTCAGAATGAAAAAGAGGGATCCACAGAAAATCTCGGGTAATCTTTATTAGCAGACGTTTCGCCTACTAGAAGCTTCATTAATTCAATGTTTCGCTCACCAGGAGCTTTATAATTCTATGTGAATTGAATTAGTGAGCGAAACGTTGGGTGGGTAAAGCTCCTGGTGAGCAAAACGTTGAGTGGATAAAGCTCCTGGTGAGCAAAACGTCGGGTGGATAAAGCTCGTGGTGAGCGAAACGTTGGGTGGATAAAGCCCGTGGTGAGCGAAACGTTGGGTGGATAAGCTCGTGGTGAGCGAAACGTTGAGTGGATAACGCTCGTGGTGAGCGAAACGTTGGGTGGATAAAGCTCCTGGTGAGCGAAACGTTGGGTGGATAAAGCTCGTGGTGAGCGAAACGTTGGATTGATAAAGCTCGTGGTGAGCGAAACATTCGGTTGATAAAGCTCCTGGTGAGCGAAACACTTGGCGGATAAAGCTCCTGGTGAGCGAAACGTTCGGTGGATAAAGCTCCTGGTGAGCGGAACGTTCAGTGGATAGAGCTCCTGGTGAGCGAAAGGTTGGGTGGATAAAGCTCGTGGTGAGCGAAACAATGGGTGGATAAAGCTCCTGGTGAGCGAAACGTCTTAGTTTCCAGAACATTACTCGTATCGCTTTTTAAACTGTCGTCGGTGGAAGAGGCAAAGAGCCGATAAGTGGAAGGGAAGGAACGTAAAGGAGCGGAAACGTTTCGCCCTGAGCGAAACGTTTTAAAATTAATGTTCCTGATGTTTAATAAATGCGTCCCAAACATTGAGAGAAACATCTTCAGACACTTCAAGGAGGGGGGAGGGGGGGAGGTACCTTGATGCTGGTGAAGGTCTCTTGCTCCAAGGGATCAGAGCTTTCTCTTTATTGTAACTGGTTTGCTACTGTACTTGCTTAGCTAACAAAATGTTAGGCTACATTTCCTGGACCCAAAATGGATAAAAATGCGCCTCAACTTAATGTGAAGTGATGTAAATAGAATGTGTCTTGTACACCGGTAACATTTTCTCTCCAGAATATAATCAGCATTTAGAAGATAGTTTTGGTGGGGATTTTTAACCCGGGGGAGTTAGCTATCCAGTACAACCCAGGAAAGTCAGTGCGTCATCGAGGACTGTCTTATTTTCACTGTGGTTCTTAAACCTAGTCAACTGTTGTTCCACCCACAACAGTTGACTAACACCCAGGTACCTACTAAGTGGACAGGGACAGTAGGTGTAGGGAAACCTACACAATTAATAACAAAAAAGGCACAATACCGTGACTGGAATGATACACAAATAACCCGCACATAAAAGAGAGAAGCTTACGACGACGTTTCGGTCCGACTTTGACCATTTACAAAGTCACACTAACCAGAAGTGGAGCAGGACGCAATGTTTCCATCCGTGCTGGGGATCGAACCACGGACACTCAGTATGTGAGCTGTGTGCTGCCAACTGAGCCACGGGACTCGTACACTTGCTGTTCCCAGTGGAAATAAGTCACTTTGACTTTGGTGTGTGTTTGTGCATAAATTAACCTACACCATTCTGAAATATGATTTGTACGTTTACATCTTAATCTCAGTGAATTGAGTGATGGAGATGTCCACCCTCAGTGCATGCTTACTGACACTGGAATATAAGTTACATTGCCTGGCTTTCTTAAGTTATCCTGGATTATTATCCCTCCGGGGTTACTTAGGTGGAGTCTGCTTCAAATAGAGCACTGTTTAGGTACAGTCCCTGGGCCAATTATGTACCTCTGTAATGTTGATGTAAGATTTCGTTCGGATTTTTAACCCCGGAGGGTTAGCCACCCAGGATAACCCAAGAAAGTCAGTGCGTCATCAAGGACTGTCTAACTTATTTCCATTGGGGTCCTTAATCTTGTCCCCCAGGATGCGACCCACACCAGTCGACTAACACCCAGGTACCTATTCGCTGCTAGGTGAACAGGACAACAGGTGTAAGGAAACGTGTCGAATGTTTCCACCCGCCGGTAATCGAACCCGGGCCCTCCGTGTGTGAAGCAGGAGCTTTAGCCACCAGGCCACCGGGCCTCTGTAATGTTGAGGTACAGTCCTTGGACCCATTATGTGCCTTCGTAATCTGCCTACCGCCCACAGGATGGGTATGGACCGCATAATAAAAATATTAATCTAAAAATAACGCTTTATTTCAAGACTGTCTTGTAAATCGCTCGGCTAGTTTGGTTAAGGTCAGCATCTACTTAAGGTTGTGAGGTAAATAAATAGGTCTTGGGTAGGAGAGACATTGGTAAAACCAAAGGCATCTTTTTAGTATGATAATAAGATGTTATCTTCATTGTAGAATAATAAGAAAATATTATAACCTTTATATTATAATAATAAGGTAAAAGGACACCAATGGAAATAAGTCACTCTGTCTGACTTTTTTGGGTTATCCTAGGTTCTCTACACATATGCTGCTATGTATGATAATTCTATGTAACTGTATTTGTGTATACCTGAATAAATCTACTTACTTACTTACTATCTTATCCTGTCTTCGACAAATTAGACATAAAATCCAAATTATTTTAGACACCCATATAATTTTGTCATTTTTTTTTATGAAAAAATCCTGTAAACGTTTTCTTTAATTGTTTAATGGATAACTATGATAAAGTTAGCCATAGATTTTTTTTTTGTTTTGTTTTAGGAGGAGGGGCCCTTTAATGATAATAATAGTTTAATTTTCTACAAGTACATATTATGCAGACCATAGCTGACATCAGTGACATACTAATACATAGAACCCCTTGTTATGTAGAATATTTCTGGCAGTTAGGCCCCTCAAGGAAGGCTCCTTGACGCTGGTGAGGGGCTCTTGATCTAGGGAATTGGATCTGTGCTCCAGTTCCCTGAATTAAGCCTGAATGCCTTCCATCCCCCCATAGGCGCTGTATAATCATACGGGTTTAGTGCTTCCCCCTTGATTATAATATAATAATCTGGCAGTTAGGTCAATTTTGTTCCCAGGATGCGACATAAGTCGACTTAAACCCAGGTGCGTGGACAATATTTGTAAGTAAACGCCGATCGACACCATGCCTAACCCTTCTAGGGTAGGGTAGGTGCCTGAGCCCGAGCCTTTAGCTCATAAGACTGTCATTCCCATTTGCCTCCTTGGGGCGGAGATGGCAGACCAGAGAGGCCTAGCTTGTGGCTAGGCCTGGGGACAGTTGGTCTCAAAGATGAGGTACTTGTGCCTCCTCCCATGGGAGACTTATGTCTCAGACACTCCCTAAAGAGGGAGCCAAGGCCGGGCCACCACTTGGAAAAGGTCCGAGCCGGGAGAATACCGGCTAATCTTTAATAATAATAATAATAATAATAATAATAATAATAATAATAATAATAATAATAATAAACGCCCAATTTTTTCCTTCCTTGCCGGGAATCGAACCAGGACACTCGGCAAGGGCCTTCCTGGTAGGCAAGCAAAAGCCGAAAAGGCGCAAGGCGAAAGCCTTGCCTACCAGGAAAGCTAAACTCGTAAGGGTAACAGCACATAAGAGAAATGGGAGGAAGGAAAGTGTCTCTTATTTGCAATATATTCTCCACTGAAGAGAGGGTAATGCCGCACCTGGTCATTTGGTGGTAGTCATTAGCACATATCTTCCCCCCTTCTTAATTCTGTGTGTTTCTAGAGTACATCGGGGCCCCTCAATGTATCCTCGCAGGACAGATTTCTGGTACATGGGATCAACTTGGTCATCCTTCACTGTATGTTTCCCTGTTCACCCATCAGTAAAATAGGTATCTGGGCGTTAGTTGATTGGTGTGGGTCGCATCCTGGGGACAAAATTGACCTAATTTGCCAGAAATGCTCTGCATAACAAGGGGCTTTCTATATAGTAGTATGTCAGTGATGTCAGCTATGGTCTGTATACCTTGTACATGTACTTGTAGAAATAAAGATTATCATTATTATTCTGTAATATGGAGACCAGAACTGTGCAGAATTTATGTCCATTGTTTATGGAGATCAGATCTTAGCAGCATAATGTAAATGAGGTAAGTGGGTATAATATTTTGTCAGGAAACAGGACAAGTGTTTCCTGATGCGGGTGTTAGTCATATTATGACCCACAGCTGGAGTTTTAGGTCATCTGACTGAGGACTTCCGCAGGCTTACCCTTCCACCTCTTTAAAAATCATAGTTATGATTATTTGGTCTCTAAATGAAGTCTTGCCAGATATATATGAGGTATAACCTGAGGACTTCCATTATTTATATGTATTTTGAGGGTAGTAGAGAGAGTCACTAGATTATGTCCCAGGCACTTCTGAGAATACGCCTAGTCATTTATTTTCTAATTTATTTAGGGGAGGTGGTAAACCTGTAGGGGTCATATTGCACCTGGGTACTGGAAAGTAATAAAAGTTTAATCAAAAGGAGGTTAAAGTTCAGTTCTTTGGATCAAGAACTCCATTCTATGAACATATGTGGTAGCAATTTTGTATATTTCAGGCTATTTATAGTTATATGCATTGAGGGAAAACTTTTGCGATTTTTTCTCTAAATTAAATGTTTTAATGTGGACAGTATTTTACAGTTGGCACCAATGAATCCAGGTTCTGGTAGAGAGGGTTTACATTATAAAACCACCAAAATTGAAATTTGATTAGTGTTGGGGACTTTTCTGAGGCAATACACAGTAGATGTTAGGATGCATAAAAATATATTCATTGGGTAACTTAGTCAAAGTAAACTTTGTGTCATAAACTCTTGAAAAGAGAAAGGTAAAAAGCATGTCTAACTTGTGAATTTTTATTTTTATTACATGTATAATATGCCTAAAAAGCCATTGCCACTTTTGAGCTCATTAACACTGTGTTTAAATTATCACGTCTTTGCAGATTTGTGGTCATCTGCATGAACATCAAGTTTGCCATTGCGCTTTCATATGACAAGAAGTCAGTGACATCACTGACTTCCTCTGAAATGTCATTGTGGATGACTGTGGGACAATCCCTGTTGTTGTTCTTGATGCCTGCATCAGAGGATTGAAGGATCTCCCTGCAGAGCAGGTGAGGACCAGAGCGGTGCAAAGAATCAGCAGCGTCTGGATGTTGGGGTAAAATGGCAGTGGCAGAGCTGATGATAGAGAAAATGGCTTAGTTAAATACAGGTAAGTAGCACTTCAGACGAGCAGGTAGACAGCACTTCAGACGAGCAGGTAGACAGCACTTCAGATGAGCAGGTAGACAGCACTTCAGACAAGCAGGTAGATAGCACTTCAGATGAGCAGGTAGGGAGCACTTCAGACGAGCAGGTAGGGAGAATTCAGACTAGCAGGTAGGTAGCACTTCGGACGAGCAGGTAGGTAGCACTTCGGACGAGCAGGTAGGGAGCACTTCGGACGAGCAGGTAGGGAGCACTTCGGACGAGCAGGTAGGGAGCACTTCGGACGAGCAGGTAGGGAGCACTTCGGACGAGCAGGTAGGGAGCACTTCGGACGAGCAGGTAGGGAGCACTTCGGACGAGCAGGTAGGGAGCACTTCGGACGAGCAGGTAGGGAGCACTTCGGACGAGCAGGTAGGGAGCACTTCGGACGAGCAGGTAGGGAGCACTTCGGACGAGCAGGTAGGGAGCACTTCGGACGAGCAGGTAGGGAGCACTTCGGACGAGCAGGTAGGGAGCACTTCGGACGAGCAGGTAGGGAGCATTTCGGACGAGCAGGTAGGTAGCACTTCGGACGAGCAGGTAGGGAGCACTTCGGACGAGTAGGTAGGGAGCACTTCAGACGAGCAGGTAGGTAGCACTTCAGACGAGTAGGTAGGGAGCACTTCGGACGAGCAGGTAGGGAGCACTTCAGACGAGCAGGTAGGTAGCACTTCAGACGAGTAGGTAGGGAGCACTTCAGACGAGTAGGTAGGAAGCACTTCAGACGAGATAAGGTTTCCTGGACAGCCAGGAAACCCTCTTTCGATACGGTGTTGCTGTACTGATTTTCATACAGTTGAATTGCTTAGCTATTTTAAGTTTCAAGGTTACAATCGTGATTGATTTGTACTGTAACTTACTGGTAGGCTTTAACCCTTAAATGGTTCAAACATATATATACGTTTTTTCAACATCTGAAAGTATGTAAAAAAATGTAATCTTTTTTTTTTGTTTTACATGTGAAAACGTGTAAAAAAAACTTTTATCTACTTTTTTTTTGTTTGAAAATACTATGTAAAAAAAAAGTAGATCTACTTTTGTAGCAATACGAATTTGAACGTCGATCTGTTAGGACCGTTTAAGGGTTAAATAATAATACGTTACATTATTTTTATTATAATCATTTTTTTATAAGACTTTACAAAGACTCCAATAGAAACAAATAATTTTGACTTTGGTTTATCCTAGGTAATTTACACATTTATGTATAATTGTACTTTTGTGGACCTGTACCTAAATAAACTTGAAGTATAATTAATTGGTTGAATTGTAACCAGCTCAGGTTTTTTTTCTTGTTAATGTGAGTTTATTTTAGTATAATTTTGGTTTGGCCTCACCTTGGGGTCAAACTGGACAGTAGCGTCTAGCTGACCTACGGTCTTTTTCTCCATGGGGAAGTGGAGCAGAGTTCTTCCTCTGTAAACCATGTGTGTCATAAGAGGTGACTAAAATGCCAGGAGCAAGGAGCTAGTAACCCCTTCTCCTGTATATACATATGTATTACTAAATTTAAAAGGAGAAACTTTTGTTTTTCCTTTTGGGCCACCCGGCCTCAGTGGGATATGGCCGGTTTATTGAAAGAAGAATTTTGGTTTGTGTGTATTAGTATATTATCATGGGAGTGCTAAACCCATAAGGATTATACAGCACTTAGGGGGGGGGTAATGGAAGGTATTCAGGTTTAATTCAGGGAATTAGAGCACAGATCCAATTACCTAGATCAAGAGCCCCTCACCAGCATCAAGGAGCTTCCCTTGAAGGGATAATACCTTACAATGTTCTTATTTCCATATAAATAATTTGCATCCATCATTTCCAAAGGAGAATTTGAGTTACATCAAGAATTAATGCAAGCTGCTCTGCTTGTAAAATTATCTGTAAACCAAGTACAGCAAATGGTTTAGAATAAAAAATTTAATTTAGGCTCCATTTAATAAATAAATTTACAAAACTAATGGCAATTTTTCCTCATGGCTTCTACAGACTCCTCTTGTTATTTCAGAGTATCTTCATTCATCCTGTGGTGCTGGTACTACTGCTGGTGCTGCTACTGCAGATAATCCTCATACCTGCAGAAGATATTTTTGAGTTATTACTGAGTACACTATAGACTGATCAGCATACAAGTGTAACTTGTACAGAAAACTCTTACCATGTAACAAAAAAATTAAAAGTGTAGGAAAATCTTATGCAGTATAAAGTGTGTAATGCTGATGAGACTGGATTATGATGAAGTATATGATTTACCAACTTCAAGAATAAGAGAACTTCAGGAACTACCACTAAAACAATAGCCGAGTCAGAAATGGACCACTGGAAAATCATTGCTCTAACAGTGCACAAAGAACTTGAATTACCAAGCAAGAAAACTTTGCATCAACTTTCAAGGCAGCCAAGGATCACTTCAGGAGGCTTATGTCTGTGAATTAAATGGACAGTTTCCAGTGCAATCCTATGCTTAGTGTGCAGAGAATCCCAGTCCACTGAAAGGAAAAAACAAAGCCTGTTTGCCCTCTATTTAGCAGTGGATGACTGAGGCCGTTTGTTGCATGATTCAACTAATGTTTTATTCCTGCAGTGAAGATGCACATATTTAACCAGAAAGAATTGAGTATTAGAGATTCTCCTCACCCTTGAAAATTCTCTCATCCTGCAATCAAAGCTTCTGGACCAAAATGCAAACCTTGTGTTTTTACTATCTAATATGATTGATACAGCATCTAGATCAAAAAGTTATTAAGACATTTAAGTGCCACTTCATGTACAAAACCCTACACAGAAATGGATGACAAATGAGACTAGTGTGCCAGAGTTCAGGCATAAATTTATCATTGTAGAAGCACTTACACTGGTGTCAGGGGATGCTGTACCTCCAGTCACCCATAAATGATGGCTAGGAAGCACTTGTGATGTGCGAAAAATAATTTCTCTGCATTTTCCTTGCTAGGATGTCGCATCCAAAAAAACTGTAGCAACAACAAGTACAGCGAGAGTTCGTGGCCTTTGAAGATAATGATGTGAATGAATTGTTGGAAAAAGATTAATCGACTGCAAAAGTAACGTCAAAGGAACTCAAAACCAAGTCTATCCAAATGATAAGTTGACATGTGCTTCAGCAATGTATAGATGGAAGTGAAGGCTAACAAAGACAAGTGAAAAAGATAAGACACAATTTGCAGAGGCACTTGGAAGACAAATGTCTGTGAAACAAGCCTCAGTCAATACACACGAATGAACAAGAAACATATACAAGAACAGTCAGGCAAGTGGTGGGGTCAGTGAGGTCAAGGTATTGGAGTTTGAGAGAGGCACTGTAGGACTACTGGTCTGTTAATAACTTGTTTGCAAGAGAAGTTGGGCTAAAAGATTGACTGAACTGAAAGCACCACGATTCTATTACTGTATTTTGTATACAGATCAGAGCAGCTTCCAGGCAGTTGTGCTAAGTCATCTTTTTTCCTCATGACCAGCTGGGCATCTTTAGAAGACATCAGGTGTGTGGTCTTATTCCTATGTATAAAGCAGGCAAAATTCACGCTGAGAGTTCTGTACACAGTAATTTTTGTAACCTGATCTGTATGCTGTAGATTTCCCCCATGTAATACCAGTCACAACCACAGCATAGTATGATACAGACACCTGCACTGTGTGGTCAAGGGGGTTGTTATTATTCCTGGTTAAGCCTTTGATGGTGATGGATGTGATGGTAGCAACACCTATGTTGCTCTTGAAGAGGGCAGGTGTAACATCCTGAGGTGTGGCCAGTAGGAAGTTTCCATTTGTATCTTATCTCTGGTATAGGTTAAGTAAAGAATTTGTAATTGGTCCCTGTTGTTCTGGATGACATGTAAATTTTAGAGTTGAAATGTCCTTTTAGAATGTTGCACTCTTCATAAAGGTATTTTAGGCTGCAGATCTTGTCAGCATGTTAAAACATGGCAACAAGTGTACTGCGTGGGTCGTACACACAGTTTTCATCTCTGTGAAACTAGACCAAAATAGAATATTCATCCTTCCTACAAGCCCCACTGCAGGATATATTGCACTTGCTTTCTCCAGGAGTAACATAGGCGTTGCTACCAGTACATCCTGTATCATCAAAGACTTGACCAAGCTTGTAGGCAGTCATTTTGATCACCAGCAATGCAGGTATCTACATGGAAACATAAACACATATGCAGTTTAATGTGATCCTTTATTGACAACGTTTCGCCCACACAGTGGGCTTTTTCAAGTCACAAACAGATCTACCTGGGGTGGAAGGAACGGGAGTATTTATAGTCAGGTTCAGAATGTTGAGGTCAGGTGGAGAATGCTGCATCTGATGATCTGCCGGGTGGGGTTATAGAGTCTTGAGTAGCTTGGCAGGGGTATTGGACAAGTTGTGAGTAGACCTTCTGCAGTGTTCTATGTTCTTATGTGGGATAGCGATGAAGTTTCTTGGCAAGTGGTTCAGCTATGTTATAGAAGCCATTGTTCTGGTTGAAATTGTTGGTTATAGAGATAAGCGATGATTCCAGGATTCTTCGGTATTGAGTGTTGTCTTCTGTGGCGATAAGTCTTGAGTTTCTGTAGTTAATTAAATGGTTGTGTGAATTGCGATGTTGTACACAGGCATTCCTTGTATCGTCAGTCCTGCTTGCGTATTGGTGTTCTGAAATACATGTACGTGTTTGGAGGTCTCTTGATGTTTCGCCCACATATAATTTGTTGGTCATTACAAGGGATTATGTATACCCCTGCAGAGGATGGAAGCTTGTCCTGTCTACTACTGGTGATGTCCTTGATGGTCGTGGTTGTGGAGGTAGATACTTGAAATGATGTATTGGAAAAGATGTTGGAAACATGTTTGGCAATGGAGTTGGTGGGGAGGACTATGTATCTCTTCTCGGCAGTGTCTTCTCTGGGTGTGTTGAAGATGTTTAATGCCCGCCGTCTGCAGTCTCTGATGAAGTGACGAGGATAGTGGAGTTTAGAAAATACTTGTTCAATTATAGTGCATTCTTCCTCGAGGAACTCATTGCTGCAGATTCTGAGTGCACGCAGGAAGAAGCCTATAATTACACCACGTTTAGTTTTGGTGTCGTGGAGAAGATCGTTTTGGTTGGTTCATGGTCAGCTTTGCAGAGAACATCAAGGAAAGGAAGAGTGTTGACATTCTCCTCATAACTCCCAGGCGCTTCAACGTTCAAGCTCTCCAAGACAAGCTCAACCAGGTCGAACCCTCAATCCAGTTCACACTTGAAGAAGTAGACAACACTCTTCCTTTCCTTGATGTTCTTCTCTGCAAAGCTGACCATCAACTTCGTTTTAAAGTCTATCGAAAACCAACCAACCAAAACAATCTTCTCCACTTCTACTCTCACCACGACACCAAAACTAAACGTGGTGTAATTATAGGCTTCTTCCTGCGCGCACTCAGAATCTGCAGCAATGAGTTCCTCGAGGAAGAATGCACTATAATTGAACAAGTATTTTCTAAACTCCACTATCCTCGTCACTTCATCAGAGACTGCAGACGGCGGGCATTAAACATCTTCAACACACCCAGAGAAGACACTGCCGAGAAGAGATACATAGTCCTCCCCACCAACTCCATTGCCAAACATGTTTCCAACATCTTTTCCAATACATCATTTCAAGTATCTACCTCCACAACCACGACCATCAAGGACATCACCAGTAGTAGACAGGACAAGCTTCCATCCTCTGCAGGGGTATACATAATCCCTTGTAATGACCAACAAATTATACGTGGGCGAAACATCAAGAGACCTCCAAACACGTACATGTATTTCAGAACACCAATACGCAAGCAGGACTGACGATACAAGGAATGCCTGTGTACAACATCGCAATTCACACAACCATTTAATTAGCTACAGAAACTCAAGACTTATCGCCACAGAAGACAACACTCAATACCGAAGAATCCTGGAATCATCGCTTATCTCTATAACCAACAATTTCAACCAGAACAATGGCTTCTATAACATAGCTGAACCACTTGCCAAGAAACTTCTTCATCGCTATCCCACATAAGAACATAGAACACTGCAGAAGGTCTACTCACAACTTGTCCAATACCCCTGCCAAGCTACCCAAGACTCTATAACCCCACCCAGCAGATCATCAGATGCAGCATTCTCCACCTGACCTCAACATTCTGAACCTGACTATAAATACTCCCGTTCCTTCCACCCCAGGTAGATCTGTTTGTGACTTGAAAAAGCCCACTGTGTGGGCGAAACGTTGTCAATAAAGGATCACAATAAACTGCATATGTGTTTGTTTCCATTGTGTCGGTATTTTATACCATTTATTTTCAGGTATGTACATCATATCATGAGGTGGTTGTGGCCAGAAGTACATGGGAAGACCTAACACTCCTTACAGATCAGGATGCAAGAAAAATATGCATTCAAGATTTGCAACAAAAATAACACTTGCCTAATACATAGAGAAAAGACCACACATTTGATGTTCTGGAAAGATGGTCGGCTGGTCAAAGAATCTGCTGTGATCTGTACACACAGTACAATCCAACAGAGTCAAGGAGTCTTGTTTAGCCAAACCTTTAGTACAACTTATCTTGCATTAACAGGTCATCAATAGGACTGGTAGTGAAATTAAGACACATGTGCAACATCTAGGTATCTTTATTGTACATGTTTTGCCATCCAGTGGCTTTTTCAATACAAATTCCAGGACATAACTTGAAGACAGTAGAACTGTATACAGAAGATGAGGTAATCAGTCCCTCAACCTTGGAGCTGGTGTGAAGAGCACTATAGTCGTAAAGATTCTGAAGTAGAAGCATGGAGCCTGGCGCTTTTATACTAACGTCAGGTGGAAAGGGGGCGTGTAGCAGACGAGGGCATAGTCACTGGTAGGCGGGATTCCCCAGTGGAAGTAGGTCCTACCCAAAGAGATGGGTTAGTTGTAGTAGTAGTGCTCTTCACACCAGCTCCAAGGTTGAGGGACTGATTACCTCATCTTCTGTATACAGTTCTACTGTCTTCAAGTTATGTCCTGGAATTTGTATTGATAAAGCCACTGGATGGTGAAACGTCTACAAAAAAGATACCCAGATGTTGCACGTGTGTGTTAATTTCATCTTGTTGGTATTGTATACCATTCTTGTACAGGACTGGTAGTCATCTTGCAGTGCCCTCATCTCGCTCCACCCATGCAGTGACTCGCTGACTCGGCCACACACTCGTATAAATATACTCGTTGTCCATCCCTTTGTATTGACTGAAGAAGGCTGTTCCAAAAGACAAGAAGTCAAAATTTTTGAAAATTGTTTTTCAAGGCTAGCAGTGGAGTGGCTACTTAAGAAACCAATGACTAGGTCTATGGGTGTATTTGTGAAAAAGTAAGTTGTCTAAACTTGTCAATTTCTTGAACTCTGTTTTCCAGTCTAAAGAAGAGACCACCAAAATGATGAAAGTGGAACTGGCTGATGGACCCTAGTAAATGAGCTAAGCTTGTGGCAACAACTCTCACCAACCTGTGTAGAGCACTGCTGATGACAATAAAGGAATATATAAGGTCTATGGCTTTTTGGTAAGGCCATAGACGTGTGCTTGTTGGGAGTTATTAGGCAGCAGGTAGCACAGTTTTTGGCCTTGTGTGGGCCTCTGTAATGTCTTTATAGCTTTTCTGGTAAAGGACTTCGTCTCCTTGTTAACTGTGTGTTAAGGTGATGACTTCGTAAGTGTTAGTGTTATCAAGTGCATCCGTCATCTTGTAAGCACTACTCTCCCTGATGACCACTATTTCATTTATCAGTAGTCCTGATCCTTATGTTAAGGTTCTTAGTTTACTGAGAGCTTCAGTATATTGTTCAAACAGTGAGATATAGGGATCTGCAAGGCTACAGCAGAATTGTTTTGTTTGAAAAGTTTTGTTGAAATCAGCATGTGTGCTTGTGGTTCCTTGGTATCAAATCTGTGTTGTTCTGTTTTGTGATTCTAGCAAGCCTAGGCTGAGGGCCCCTGGGTGTCAGAGCAAAGGCAAACTGGTGATAATGGATGATCTTCAGGTGGTTTTCCAGGAGCTGTTTGTATACAAATTATGTAGAATGCAACTATGCCTGAGTTTTTGTTGTTCATTTACGATAAGAACTTTGTCTAATGTTGCTGGCTGTGTCCAGTGGCAATGTATCAAATTTGTGAATGAAATGGTCACCTCAAGACCCACACCAGTACACCTTCAGGACACTGACTATTTGTAGATTCCCTTACATATTACCACAGAACATGGGCAACTACATTAGACAGGTCTCTTATTATAAATGAACAACTGAAACTCGGGCATGTTGCATTCTGTGTAATTTATGTACAAACAGCTCCTGGAGAAAACGCCTGATGATCATCCATTATCACCAGTTTCTTTGCTCTGACACTCAGGGGCACTTAGCCGAGGACTACGGTTTGCTAGAGGGAATCACAAAACAGAACAAAACTTGATACTAAGGAACCACAAGCACACATGCTGATTTCAACAAAACATTCCTGCTGTAGCCTTGCAGGAGACCCCTATATCTCACTATTTGAACAATGTATTGAAGCTCTCGGTAAGCTAGCCGAGAACCTCCAACATAAGAATCAGGACTACTGACGAAAGTGAAATAATGGTCATCGGGGACAGTAGTGCTAACGAGATAGAGGATACACTTGGTCACACTAACAACTATGAAGTCATCACCTAACACATTGTTAACAAGGAGACAAAGGTCTTTACCAGCTAAAGTATAAAGATATTACTGAAGTCCACACAAGGCCAAAAACTGTGCCACCTGCTGCCCAGTAATCCCCAATAAACATACACTTATGGCCTATCCAAAAAAAAAACAAAAAACAAAACATAAACCTTGTATACTCCTTACTGTCATCAGCAGTGCTCTATACAGGGGTGTGAGAGTTGCTACCACAAGATTAGCACATTTACTATGGTCCATCAGCCAGTCCTGCTCTCGTCATTCTGGTGATCTCTTCTCCAGACTGGAAAACAAACATAGAGATCAAGAAATTGTCAAGTTTAAACCTCATTTACATTTTCACAAGTGCACCTATAGATCTAGCCATTGGTTTCTTTAATATACTGCATATTTCAGCCTGTTGACAAACTGTGAATATAAAAGGCCCCAAAATATGTAACTATATGATACATAAGTTCCACTACCTGTCAAGCGCTTCAATATTAATGCTATATATCTCCTAAATACGAAGTGTATATTTTTGTCATTAAATTGAATATGAATGCTTATGTATTACTGTCACCATTATGATTCTACTGCCTAAATGATAAAAATTATCAATCTGGTCAAAATTACTATGGTACTTTAATTCTTTACAACTGATTCCTGCATTAATGTTCTGATAAAAATTCTGATTATGTATGTTATAAAGATGATTTACTTAGGATATCAAGACTGAGGGACTGATTACATCGAACTCCTTGTCTTCCGTCAGTTCTCTGTATTGGACTAAAGAAGCCACTGGCTGGTGAAATGTTTCCCCAATAAAGATTCCCAAATGTTGCACAAGTGTCTCATTCTTCAACTTTGAGTTTATCATGAAGACCAAAATTATAATCTAGTCTACAACCAAAAATCATTATTATTACTATAAATTGCCAGAAAATCATGATAATTAAGGCAGTTGGTCATTAACTATTTGCCTTCCGAAGAACTTTATACCAGAAATACAACAGAATTATATTTTAAAACTGACTGCTTATGAGTACTGGGCTTTCAGTAGGTCCAATTTTGATTCTTGAAGCATTTTTCTTCTTTCCTCTTGTTCAAATCGATTTCCATCAGTCTTGCTGTATGACCTTATGGGTTTAGCTCTTAGTTTTGATGATAATTGATATTCCATCAGCATCAGCTCCTTCCTTTCTTAACTGGAAGGAATAAACTGTATTTGGCAAACATGTGAGTTTATTTAGGCACAAGTACAATTATCATACATTATTTTTATTTAAAAAGAATATTAATTAATCCATGTTGAACTGCATATCTATAGAAATTATTGCCTAGGTAATAATACAGTATGAAAATGAACTAATAAAAGGAAAATAAAGTAAATGGAATTGAAAGGCAGTGTAAAAGCCATTAACCCGTAAACGGTCCAAACGTATATACTATACGTTTTTTCAATATTTGAAAGTATGTAAAAAAAGTAGATCTTCTTTTTGTTTTTCTACATTTGAAAATGTGTAAATAAACTTTGATCTACTTTTTTTTTAGTTATATTTGAAAATATGTAAAAAAAAATTAGATCTACTTTTGTAGCACTACACATGTGAACGTAGATCTGCTTGGACCGTTTACGGGTTAAAGAGATCATCTCACAAGAACTAATAAAATACAGTGGAACCTCAAATATCGAACTGCTCCCAACTCAACCAATTATGTAAGTGTATTTTTGTAAGTGCTTTTATAAGTGTACTTTTGAGGGTCTGAAATGAAGTAATCTAATTTACATTATTCCTGATGGGAATAAATTCGTTCGGTAACAGCACTCGAACAGCCGTCTGGAACGAAGAAAGTTCGATATTTGAGGTTCCACTGTACCAATCATAACTGTGAGAAAGTACAAGATTAATTGGCATATCAGGTGCACGATCATGCTAGACACAAGATGATGTCTCCAAGCAGTTCTAATGTTTGTAAACAACTGCTAAAGCGTAACCCAAAGCCTACCCTTGACCCTGACCTTAATGGTTCAAGTCAAACCAAAATGTCATCACAAGTTTCCTTCTCCTAAGTGCAGGTTATGTGTGCATTGTTCCAGTCACGGTATTGTGAATTTTTGTTCTCCCGTGTAATGTAATGTTTAATGTCTATCTTATCAACAGCTGAACACCAAATTTCATTATTCCTCTAGCTTGATTCACGGAGAGGGAGAAAGGATCCGGGCAGCCATTAAGTTGCAACTGTAATTCTGTGTGTTGATATACTGTTGAAGTTGTGAGATGAACACTGAAGTCATGGGAAGAAAACTTCAGAAGTGGCAAGGTAACACTTGACCTAGACCAATAGTACCCAGCTACAATCCTCAGCCATTTGTCTGTCCATGTTCATTCCCAGGAAGAAAAATATTCTTCATTTGGCAGATGAACAACTCATCCTGAGTGTTATCTCTGTGTGTGACTCCTCAATACCTATGAAGCTAACTGCATGAACTTATTAGCATTATCTATAACTTTATTACATTCATTTTAGGATTTATTGCTTTATAACTTCCTGTTTGTTAATAAAGATCTTTTTAAAGATTTCATTTGTAATTATTAAACCTTTTTCTTATTTCTGTCATTTTTTTGACAGATAGCATATCCCAACACTTCCAGGATACTCTTGGATGCTATAGTCAATAAGCAGACAAGAGACAGGGTATCGAAAAGGTTAAAAATCAATGGAATAATAAATGACTTTATATATAGGACACGTACACACAGTTAACTGGCAGTCTGGGATGTTGTTTACATCGAGGATGAAACTAGGCCTCTCCCTAAATACAACGGTCTCTTCTATAGGGTAACTGCAACATGGAGGGAAAGTATCTCATAGCATGCTCTAATGTGATATGATGTATACCTGGAGAGGGTTTTGGGAGTCAATGCCCCTGTGGCCTGGTCTGTGACCAGGCCTCATGGTGGATCAAGGCCTGATCAGCCAGGCTGTTACTGTTGGCTGCATGCAACCCGATGAACGAACCACAGCCTGGCTTGTCAGGTACTGACTTTAAATGCCTGTTCAGTGCCTTCTTGAAGACAGCTAGGGGTCTACTGGTAATCCCCCTTATGTATGCTGGAAGGCAGATGAACAGTCTTGGGCCCCTGACACTTATTGCATTTCTCTTATTGTGCTAGTGGCACCCCTGCTTTTCATTGGGGGATGTTGCATCGTCTGCTGAGTCTTTTGCTTTCATAGGGAGTGACTTTCGTGTTCAAGTTTGGTACTAATCCCTCTAGGATGTTCCAAGTGTATATAATCATGTATCTCTCCCACCTGCATTTTAGGGAGTACAGGTTGAGGAACTTTAGGTGTTCCCAGTAACCAAAGTGCTTTATTGCAGTTTTGTGAGCTGTGAAGGTTCTCTGTACATTTTCTAGGTCAGCCATTTCACCTGCCTTGAAAGGTGCTGTTAGTGTGCAGCAATATTCCAGCCTAGATAGAACAAGCAAACTGAAATGTCATCATGGGCTTGGCATCCCTAGTTTTAAAGGTTCTCATTATCTATCCTGTTATTTTTCTAGCTGATGCAACTGATACAATGTTATGGTCTTTGAAGGTGAGATCCTCTGACATGATTACTCCCAGGTCTTTTACATTAGTTTTTCGCTTTACTGTGTGGATGGAATTTGCTTTATACTCTGATGTATTTGCAAAGCAAAACGACGTATATTTTCCCCTAAATTTAGCGTGCGTTATACTAGTCTTCCTTCCATACAACTCAAACTTAGGTACAGTTTTTCACAAAAATTTTTACTCAGATGTGTTACTGTTAACTCTACTGTATTTCTATATTCTAAGCTCTTTAATACTGTACACAATGTGTGAAGGCTTTCTCAGATTACTGTATTATACAGAAATTAGGAAGATAAAAAAATTTCAGTGATCCAAATAATTAAACCCAATAGAAATAAGTCACTTTGTCTGACTTTTTTGGGGTTATCAAAAGTAATTTACACATATGTTAAACTGTATATGATAATTGTACTTATGTGTACCTGTACCTAAATAAACTTACTAACCCTGTATAGGAAAGGATACATATCTAGTACCATATTAAAATAGAGATGCATTAAAAAACAGCTAGTAAGTTTTTTGAGGCACAGGTACACACAGGTATAATTATCATACATAGTGTAAATTACGTAGGATAACCCCAAGAAAAGGTCAAAGTAACTTATTTCCATTGGGGTCCTTCTTATTTCCATTGTATTTGAGGCAAAATAAGAGACCCAAATCAAAATATTTAAACTAAAACATACCTAAAGAATCTAGATCAATAGCAGTTGTAGCGGCTGAATGAAAATGATAAACTTCTATAGGCTCGCTCTTGTCTGTGCAATCTCCCATTGCTTGATCCATCTGAGCCTCCTCCACCAATAGCAATTGTTGCTAGCACGAATGTGAAGTCTTGTGGCAGCTGATTCAAACCAATAACAACCACATCCTCAATCTACAAAAAATCAAAGATGCATTACTTTCAAAACATTTTATCGAGATGAAATTGTCATCGGTCAACGAGTTTGGTAACAAAATTTTCTCCATACAAAAAAACATACAAACATATTTGCAAATGTATGTAAAACATGGGAAATAAAGAGTGAATATAAGAGAAGGAAAGGTGATAAAAAAAAAAAAAAGTTTAGGCAGTGAAAGATTGAATTATCAGACTGGAGGAAGGAAGTATGGAGGAAATAATGTCTCCAGATATCTGCGAGCTGACACAGATATATAAAAAAAAAGCCTACACAATCTGATATGAAAAAGTAGTTAGAGACTTTATCTAAGCATCTGCAGGGGGTAAGTGATCAAAATAAAATTTAAAAACAGGTAGTACAGAAATTAAAACATATGAAGAAAAAACACAAGCCGAAGAGAAAGTTTAATTGGGACACAAGCTGCAGAGAAAATTTTACTGCGACAACATTTCGTTCTATGTAGAGATCCCAATAAAACCTCTTCTGCCACTTTTATTTCTGTAATAAAGTTGGTAGAATTACCGACAATATGTAAAGTAAAAGGACACAAGTGCAACTAATGTGACATTTATTGTGGCAACGTTTCGCTCTCCAGGCTTGATAAAGCTCTCCAGGCTTGATAAAGCTCCTGGAGAGCGAAACGTTGCCACAATAAATGTCACATTAGTTGCACTTGTGTCCTTTTACTTTACTTTTATTTCTCTTCGAACTTATAAGCAATACACCATTTCATCCAATCAAACATACTTGAAGACTTTAGATCACTGGTAGCTTTAGCAGAATATCTTAGTATAGCAGAATGAAACTGAAATTTTTTTTCTCTCTCTCATTAGGACCCCCAATGGAAATAAGTCACTTTGTCTGGCATTTTTTTTGGGTTATCCTGGGTAATTTATACTTTGTATTGATAATTAAACTTATGTATACCTATACCTAAATATACTTATTTGCTCTCCTTGTTCATGTTATCAACAGTTGCTCGATCCATCTGGAACTCAACCACCAATAGTACTTGCTGTCAGCATGAACTGTGAAAAGTCTTGCGGCTGCTGACTCATACCAAATAGCTCTGACATCTTCAATCTGTAATAAGTAAAAAGTTAATGATGCAGCAATCTTTAAAATATTTGATGTAAAACAGAATTTGTATCACTGAATGAGTTTTGTAGTCACCATCTAGTCTAACAAAACTCATACAAATACAGTGGACCCCCGCTTTACGATCAGCTCCCAATGCGACCAATTATGTAAGTGTATTTATGTAAGTGCGTTTGTACGTGTATATTTGGGGGTCTGAAATGGACTAATCTAATTCACAATATTCCTTATGGGAACAAATTCGTTCAGCAATGGCACCTGAACATACTTCTGGAATGAAATAATATCGTAAACCGGGGGTCCACTGTACATGAATACAGCATTTGCATTGACATTGCAAAGATAGAAATACTGTATGCAAGTACAGTGGACCCCCGCATAATGATTACCTCCGAATGCGACCAATTATGTAAGTGTATTTATGTAAGTGCGTTTGTACATGTATGTTTGGGGGTCTGAAATGGACTAATCTACTTCACAATATTCCTTATGGGAATAAATTCGGTCAGTACTGGCACCTGAACATACTGTACTATATTCTAGGTTAGGTTCTGGGCTACTGCTGTGAAGCAAAAATCAATGTAAAGTGAAACAGCCGTTTTTCACTTTCAAATGCATATAAAAGCCTTGTATTGACTGAATAATAAAGTTAGGCCTTAAAAATGTGTATACAGTTCACACCTTACTTACCTTAAAATATTTTTGTTTTTAGCTTATAGTGGGTAGTTAATATATTTATTGTAGGAAGTCTGAATAAATGAAGAATGGGTATAATTGAAAACCACTGTACAGTGGACCCCCGCCTTACGATCAGCTCCCAATGTGACCAATTATGTAAGTGTACAGTGGACCCCCGGTTAACGATATTTTTTCACTCTATATGTTCAGGTGCCAGTACTGACCGAATTTATTCCCATAAGGAATATTGTGAAGTAGATTAGTCCATTTCAGACCCCCAAACATACACATACAAACGCACTTACATAAATACACGCAGGAAGGAATACATATAAATGACCTCATAGGGGACAGGAGCCATAGTAGGGAAACAAGTGTAGTCAAAGATAAGATAAAACCAATATTGCAAACTAGAAATACCGCAGGAAATAGCAAACAAGAGGACTCCACTAGCAATAGTGAGGATATATTACCAAAAACAACTGGTGGGAGCTCCATTGTTGGTGCTAGGGAGGATAGAAGTAAGACAGGGAAACATGCACCAACAGGGAATACAGTCACAGAAACCCAAGGCAAACGGAAACCAAGCCTGTGCACATACTATGCACTCGGTATCTGCTGGCATGGGAAATCTGGAAAAACAGATGGGACGTGCAACTATGACCACCCTAGAAAATGCCATGCCCATATGACAACAGGAAAATGCAAACTCCCTTCCTGTAAGCTTTTTCACCCTGAACTGTGTACCTCTTCAGTACAGGAAAGACTGTGCTATAACTTAAATTGCCAGGCATACCATCTAAAGGGGACAAAAAGATACAAAACATCCAGGCCATGGGAAAACCTGGGTAGCCACAGCCACTCAAGAGGGAGAGGTTTTTTAGTGCCAGGAAGGAAAAAAAACTGGCAGGAAATGGCAGAAATCGTACACCAAATCCAGTCATTCCTGGAGTGGAACCACAGTCGATGGCCTCCACTCCAAACCAACAGATACAGATACTAATGCCGGAAAAAAAATCCCCCCCCAGTACCAACAATACCACCAGTCCGATAACATTCTTCTTTGCAAATATACAGGGTCTAAAGCCAGCAACAAACAACAAAATACCTTTCATCCGTGGACTGCTTGCAGAGGCAAAGGCAATGTTCGCGGCTTTCACTGAGACCCACATAAAGGATCACTTGGACAACGAAATATGGATCCCAGGTTACAACCTATACAGATGTGACGGAGTGAACAGGCAAAAGGGGGGGGTTGGCCTGTACATTGCAGAGTCACTTGTTTGCACAGAACTGCTAAATGCCTCAAATGATGTAGTGGAAGTTTTAGCAGTAAAGGTCGAGAACCAAAACCTAGTCATTGTGGTAGTCTACAAGCCTCCAGATGCAACATCCCAGCAATTCCAGGAACAGCTGTTAAAAATTGACCACTGTCTGGAAAATCTTCCAGCTCCTGCACCCAACATCTTGCTCCTGGGGGATTTCAACTTAAGGCACCTAAAATGGAGGAATATAGCAAATAATATTGTTGCAGTAATAACACAAGGAGGCAGCTCTGATGAAAACTCACACTCACGCGAGCTTTTAAATCTCTGCACAAAATTCAATTTAAACCAGCAAATAATAGAGCCTACTAGACTGGAGAATACACTAGACCTCATCTTCACTAACAATGATGATCTGATAAGAAATGTCACCATATCAAAAACAATATACTCAGATCACAACATAATTGAGGTTCAGTCATGTATGCGCGGAGCCCCAGACTGACATAATGAGATTAGTCACGAGGGAGCTTTCACCAAATTCAACTTCAATAACAAACACAAAGTGGGACCAAGTAAACCAAGTCCTAACCGATATAAGCTGGGAAGATATACTAAGCAACACAGACCCCAACTTATGCCTAGAACAGATTAACTCGGTGGCACTCGATGTATGCACAAGGCTTATTCCTCTAAGAAAAAGGAGGAGTAGATGTAAAATAGAAAGAGACAGGCGCTCCCTTTACAGGCGACGGAAAAGAATAACAGAGCGGCTAAAAGAGGTCAATATATCTGAAATGCGTAGAGAGTCACTGGTCAGAGAAATAGCAAGCATCGAACTTAAGCTAAAAGAATCCTTTAGGAGTCAGGAATCGCGGGAAGAACTAAAAGCCATAAATGAAATCGAAAGAAACCCAAAGTATTTCTTCTCCTATGCCAAATCAAAATCGAGAACAACGTCCAGTATTGGGCCCCTACTTAAACAAGATGGGTCTTACACAGATGACAGCAAGGAAATGAGTGAGCTACTCAAGTCCCAATATGACTCAGTTTTTAGCAAGCCGCTAACCAGACTGAGAGTCGAAGATCAAAATGAATTTTTTATGAGAGAGCCACAAAATTTGATTAACACAAGCCTATCCGATGTTATCCTGACGCCAAATGACTTCGAACAGGCGATAAATGACATGCCCATGCACTCTGCCCCAGGGCCAGACTCATGGAACTCTGTGTTCATCAAGAACTGCAAGAAGCCCCTATCACGAGCCTTTTCCATCCTATGGAGAGGGAGCATGGACACGGGGGTCGTCCCACAGTTACTAAAAACAACAGACATAGCCCCACTCCACAAAGGGGGCAGTAAAGCAACAGCAAAGAACTACAGACCAATAGCACTAACATCCCATATCATAAAAATCTTTGAAAGGGTCCTAAGAAGCAAGCTCACCACCCATCTAGAAACCCATCAGTTACACAACCCAGGGCAACATGGGTTTAGAACAGGTCGCTCCTGTCTGTCTCAACTATTGGATCACTACGACAAGGTCCTAAATGCACTAGAAGACAAAAAGAATGCAGATGTAATATATACAGACTTTGCAAAAGCCTTCGACAAGTGTGACCATGGCGTAATAGCGCACAAAATGCGTGCTAAAGGAATAACAGGAAAAGTCAGTCGATGGATCTATAATTTCCTCACTAACAGAACACAGAGAGTAGTCGTCAACAGAGTAAAGTCTGAGGCAGCTACGGTGAAAAGCTCTGTTCCACAAGGCACCGTACTCGCTTCCATCTTGTTCCTCATCCTCATATCCGACATAGACAAGGATGTCAGCCACAGCACCGTGTCTTCCTTTGCAGATGACACCCGAATCTGCATGACAGTGTCTTCCATTGCAGACACTGCAAAGCTCCAGGCGGACATCAACCAAATCTTTCAGTGGGCTGCAGAAAACAATATGAAGTTCAACGATGAGAAATTTCAATTACTCAGATATGGTAAACATGAGGAAATTAAATCTTCATCAGAGTACAAAACAAATTCTGGCCACAAAATAGAGCGAAACACCAACGTCAAAGACCTGGGAGTGATCATGTCGGAGGATCTCACCTTCAAGGACCATAACATTGTATCAATCGCATCTGCTAGAAAAATGACAGGATGGATAATGAGAACCTTCAAAACTAGGGAGGCCAAGCCCATGATGACACTCTTCAGGTCACTTGTTCTATCTAGGCTAGAATATTGCTGCACACTAACAGCACCTTTCAAGGCAGGTGAAATTGCCGACCTAGAAAATGTACAGAGAACTTTCACGGCGCGCATAACGGAGATAAAACACCTCAATTATTGGGAGCACTTGAGGTTCCTAAACCTGTATTCCCTGGAACGCAGGAGGGAGAGATACATGATTATATACACCTGGAAAATCCTAGAGGGACTAGTACCGAACTTGCACACGAAAATCACTCACTACGAAAGCAAAAGACTTGGCAGACGATGCACCATCCCCCCAATGAAAAGCAGGGGTCACTAGCACGTTAAGAGACCATACAATAAGTGTCAGGGGCCCGAGACTGTTCAACTGCCTCCCAGCACACATAAGGGGGATTACCAACAGACCCCTGGCAGTCTTCAAGCTGGCACTGGACAAGCACCTAAAGTCAGTTCCTGATCAGCCGGGCTGTGGCTCGTACGTTGGTTTGCGTGCAGCCAGCAGCAACAGCCTGGTTGATCAGGCTCTGATCCACCAGGAGGCCTGGTCACAGACCGGGCCGCGGGGGCGTTGACCCCCGGAACTCTCTCCAGGTAAACTCCAGGTAAACATAATTGGTCGCATTCGGAGGTAATCGTTATGCGGGGGTCCACTGTATTTATGTAAGTGCTTGTGTACGTGTATTTTTGGGGGTCTGAAACGGACTAATCTAATTCACAATATTCCTTATGGGAACAAATTCGTTCAGTAACGGCACCTGAACATACTTCTGGAATGAAATAATATCGTAAGGCGGGGGTCCACTGTATTAGCAGAAAGTTGCAAACCTAGATCAGGGCCCTCCTGTATATATAAAGGCTATACCAGCCAAGAACTGTAGCCCAAGGGATGATTAACTAAGAGAAATCTCCCTATAACTAGTATATACTGAGAGAATCTGGCAGCATTATACCTGTGATATACATAAGCCTGTGATTGGTTTCAAAAGCTTTTCCACGATATCCTCACAGCCTGACCTGAGGTCAGGCTGTCTTTTGGGGGGTTGACTGCCTCGTCAACTAGACTGCTAGTGTTGGCAGCCCTCTACAGCTATTTTTTCCCAATCTTTCTCTATCTTTTAGCTTTTATAATCTGCAGCATCGGAGAACTTTTAATTAAAAGTAAAATACAGTACAGTAGGACCCTCGTATCCGCAGGGAATATGTTCCAGGTACCTTCTGCGGATACTGATACTGTGGATGGGAAGCACTTTATGGCTTCTCTTAGGCTTGAAAGAACTTCCAACATCACTACTTTTGCACTTTTGCGGACAAGAGACGGGGTATCAAAAAGGTCAAAATCAAGGGTTATTTTTGGGTCACGGCAAACCACAGATAACTGAAACCATGGATACGGGGGTTCTACTGTACCTACACCTTGTTGGTTTAGCACTTTATTTGATTATAATAATAAATCATAATACTGTACTGACAACTGCTGTAAGGACTATCAGCAAATATGTAGTACTGTATTTACTTAGCTGAGTTTTTTTTTATTTAGGCAAGCCATATACAGAGGTACATATTACAATACACATAATTAATATGTGTCACCCAACCACATTGGGTCACATCACTGGGAAGAGGCCTTAAGGAACACAACATGAAAAAAACAGATTGAATGACTTTCTTACAAGGTATATGTACATACATCCCCTCAATAAAACTAATGGAATTCTTGGCTTCATATAAAGAAGAATAAATAACAAAAGTCCTCAGGTTATGCTTTGACTTGATCTTTGGTAAGAACTCATTTACAAATGTCACGAAAACTAGACAAATGATGGGGTGGATAATGAGACAATTCAAAACAAGGGAAATACTGCTAGTGATGGCGATATTAAACTTGCTTGTGCTTGTGCAAGACAGGTATACAATACAGTGGACCCCCGGTTAACGATATTTTTTCACTCTAGAAGTATGTTCAGGTGCCAGTACTGACCGAATTTGTTCCCATAAGAAATATTGTGAAGTAGATTAGTCCATTTCAGACCCCCAAACATACACATACAAACGCACTTACATAAATACACTTACATAATTGGTCACATTCGGAGGTAATCGTTATGCGGGGGTCCACTGTACTGGCAAGATGAAAGTTAAGACACTTGTGCAATATCTTTTGTATATAGTCCTTCTGTTTTCTTATTATGTCCAAGAATCTGTATTGATAAAGCCACTGGATGGCGAAACGTCTACAATAAAGATATCCAGATGTTGCACAAGTGTCTTAACTTTGCTTGTGCTTGTTCGACTGGATTACACTTAAGTGTTTATAGCAACATTCAGGGCAGGAGAGATATCATAGCTAGAACAGATACAGAGATCATTTACAACCCACATAGAACCAATAAAACTTTTAAACCACTGGGAATGTTTAAAACCTTTGAATCTGTCAAAGTTACAGCCTTCTAGATTATTATGATTATAATCAAGGGGGAAGCGCTAAACCTGTAGGATTATACAGCACATGTGGGGGGATGTGGAAGGTATTTAGGCTAATTCAGGGAACTGGAGCACAGATCCAATTCCCTAGATCAAGAGCCCCTCACCAGCATCAAGGAACCTTCCTTGAGGGGACAGCCTACTAGAACCCTTCCTGACTCTCTGTAACTCTCACACCAATCTCTCTCTTTGCCATTTAATAAAGCATCTACTCACTGGAGCGTAAAGAGAGATGGAAGATGCTCGAGGGCCTAATCTCAAATCTGCACACTGCCATAACAGCATACTAGAGTGAGAAAACTGGGAGAATGTGCAAAATAATCCAGTGAAACGAAGGGGTGCCATGCACACTATAAGAGAACACCATATCAACATCAGTAGTCCAAGATTCTTCAACATCTTACCAGAAAATATCAGAAAAACTGCTGGAACAAGTGTAGAAGTTTTCAAGAGGAAACTGGACAAATACTACCTCTAACAAGTGCCAGATCAACCAGCTTATGATAGATTTGCGGGTCAGCAGGCAGCCAGCAGCAACAGCTTGGTCAACTAGGTTGCAGAAATAGAAAAACCTCTCAAAACCAGTCCCAGGTATGTCACAGGCATAGTAGTCATGACAACCAGTACATTATATTTAAATTACATTAAAAAATAAATAATTTAGCACATTAAATAAGAATTAACGGTAAGTGTTGACGTCTACACAGTATTTTGTTATTATATTCACGGTGAAGTGCTAAACCCACGAGGGCACACAGCACCAGTGGAATGAGAAGTAATCAAGCTTTGATCCAAGGAGGGAGAGGACAGCTCCAATTCCTCAGATCAAGAGCCCTTCACTAATAAAACATTGTGAATATGAATAAAAAAAATTGAATATTGTAACTCCAAGTGAAAGAAAGATTATTTAGTTTATATTATATAATACAAATATAATGAACAAGTGATATATCTATGGGGGAAAAGTGATAAACACGTAGGGGCCAGGAGCAGTGACTCGACCCTCCAACCACATACAGGTGAGTACATCACTTGGGAAATGGATTAGGTTTGTTCCAAGGAAAGGGAGAGTAGCTCCAATCCCTTGACACAAGAGCCTCAATATAAAACCTTAAAATTAATATTCATTCCAATAAACTGCAAAATTTACAATAATCAAAACGCCCGTAGGCCTTTATAAAGTGACTCACATTAATAAATTTTGATAATACGGCATTAACAACCAGTAATGATACTGTTTTGGACCGTTTTTTTGATAATGAAAACTGAAGAACAAAAGATGTCGAAAATCTGACCTAAATTTGTATGTGTTGTTGAGGTTGTTAAGGTCCAGCAAAACTCTGACCTTGAACCCTTGTACTAATATTATAATAATAATAATAATATCTTTATTTCTGCAAGTACATGGTATATAGACCATAGCTGACATTAATAACATACAACTGTATAGAAAGTCCCTTGTTATGCTGAGCATTTCCCGTAAATTAGGTCAATTCTATCCCCAGGATGCGACCCACACCAGTCCACTAACACCCAGGTACCTATTTTACTGATGGGTGAACATGGACAACAGGTGTAAAGTTTATTCAGGTAAGTAAGTAAGTTTATTCAGGTATACACAAATACAGTTACATAGAACATCATACATAGCAGCATATGTGTAGGTACCTAGGATAACTCAAAAAAGTCAGTGACATATTACCATTGTACCTCTATAATGTTGAGGTACAGCCTCTGAACCCATTATGTGCCTCTGTAATTTGTCCCTGGACAAATTATGGGCTTCTGTAATGTTGAGGTACAGTCCCTGGACTCATTATGTACCTCTAATGTTGGAGTACAGTCCCTGGACTCATTATGTACCTCTGTAATGTTGGGGTACAGTCCCTGGACTCATTATGTACCTCTAATGTTGGGGTACAGCCCCTGAACTCATTATGCACCTCTAATGTTGGGGTACAGTCCCTGGACCAATTATATGCATCTGTACCGCCCACAGGATGGGTATGGGGTACATAATAAATATATTAAACTAAACATAGTTGGAAAGTCAAATTTAAGCACAAGTTGCTATACAATCACATCAGAAAGAAAATAATTGTAGAGGACCAGGTCATAAGTATGGAAGGGAGTCACTAGGAATGACCAGGAAGTCTGCGAGGAGCTAAATAAAAGATTTAAGGAGGTAATCTCAGTGGAATGAAGAAATATTGACAGTCAAAGAGGGAGAGCTCAGCAACGAGTACATACACTAATGGCAACGGGACTAAGCAATATTTCTAAGTGGGCTCTGAGAGAGAACAGAAGAATTCTGTGAATCAGTGGAAACATCAGGAAAGATTACAAATGGACCTGGACAAGCTGCGGGACTGGTCTGACAAATGACTATTAAAATTTAACCCTTGCAGATGCAAAGTTATTAAAATCAGAAAAGGGCAAAGAAGACCAGGAACAGAGTACAAGCGTGAGGGCACAAAGTCTGCAAATCTACCTGCAAGAGAAGAGTCCCAGAGTGCACATAATTCCGAGCATTTCGCCTGAGGCACACATCAACTAAATAACTCCTGCAGCAACGTGGGACTGGCAAATAACAAATAGAATGGTAGCTTCAGGAACCTTAAGAAACACTCGCCACCATTTCCACAGCATATGTCAGGCCCATCTTAAAGTATGCAGCTCCAGTATAGAACCAGTTTAATAAAGCATGTACAGAAGCTGGGAAAAGTGTCATGATTTGTTACGAGACTAGTCCCAGAGCTGAAGAGAGACTAGAGAAGTTAAACCTAACAACACTAGAGAACAGAGGGAATAAGGTTGATATGATTACAATGAACAAAATATTGAGAGGAATTGACAGGGTGAGTCTTTTTTTTTTTTTTTTTGAGAGGCGGGTTCTGGCACACGAGGGCACAGATGGAAGTTGAAAAGACAGATGAGTAACATGGATGTCAGGAAATACTTCTTCAGCTTTAGAGTAGTCAGTAAGTGGAACTACCTAGAGAACAAAGTTGTTGATAAGGGATTCATTCATAACTTTAAGAGTAGGTATGATAGGGCTCACGCAGCCAGGATAGAGTGAAGCTAGTAGTGGCCAGCAGAGAGACGGGGCCAGGAGCATGACTCGACCCCTGCAACCATATAGATGTCCCATAGCTCGATTGCTAGCGCACTCAGCTTACACACTGAAGTCCGGGGGTCGATCCCCGGTACAGCTGGAAATACCAAGACGTGTTTCCATAAGACACCATAAGACACCATAAGATACCTGGGTGTTATTGGACTGGTGTGGGTCGCATCCTCGGGATAAATTTGACCTAATTTGCGGGAAATGCTCTACATAACCAGTGGCTTTCTATTTTGTAGTATGTCATTAATATCAGCTATGGGCTGTATACCTTGTACATGTACTTGTAGAAATATTATTATTATACATAGGTCAGTAGAAGTACCCATATACCTCACGCTGAATCAACAACAATAGGCTCTCTGTGGCTTATAAAAAGGTGATATATGGCGCTCATTCACTGACATGTGGATCAAATATTTTCTCTTTGGGAGACAAATCAAAAACTTCTCGTCTGTCTGTTTAATAAATTCTGCCTCGTCTAACTCAAAATATACTTCTATGAAAAGTATAAGTCACTATGAAGAAATAAGCTATACTCTTTATGTAATAAATACAAAACTTCCATTGCAGACACTGAAAGGCTCCAGGCGGACATCAACCAAATCTTTCAGTGGGCTGCAGAAAACAATATGAAGTTCAACGATGAGAAATTTCAATTACTCAGATATGGTAAACATGAGGAAATTAAATCTTCATCAGAGTACAAAACAAATTCTGGCCACAAAATAGAGCGAAACACCAACGTCAAAGACCTAGGAGTGATTATGTCGGAGGATCTCACCTTCAAGGACCATAACATTGTATCAATCGCATCTGCTAGAAAAATGACAGGATGGATAATGAGAACCTTCAAAACTAGGGAGGCCAAGCCCATGATGACACTCTTCAGGTCACTTGTTCTATCTAGGCTGGAATATTGCTGCACTCTAACAGCACCTTTCAAGGCAGGTGAAATTGCCGACCTAGAAAATGTACAGAGAACTTTCACGGCGCGCATAACGGAGATAAAACACCTCAATTACTGGGAGCGCTTGAGGTTTCTAAACCTGTATTCCCTGGAACGCAGGAGGGAGAGATACATGATTATATACACCTGGAAAATCCTAGAGGGACTAGTACCAAACTTGCACACGAAAATCACTCACTACGAAAGCAAAAGACTTGGCAGACGATGCACCATCCCCCCAATGAAAAGCAGGGGTGTCACTAGCACGTTAAGAGACCATACAATAAGTGTCAGGGGCCCGAGACTGTTCAACTGCCTCCCAGCACACATAAGGGGGATTACCAACAGACCCCTGGCAGTCTTCAAGCTGGCACTGGACAAGCAACTAAAGTCAGTTCCTGATCAGCCGGGCTGTGGCTCGTACGTTGGTTTGCGTGCAGCCAGCAGCAACAGCCTGGTTGATCAGGCGCTGATCCACCAGGAGGCCTGGTCACAGACCGGGCCGCGGGGGCGTTGACCCCCGAAACTCTCTCCAGGTAAACTCCAGGTAAACACACACACACACACACACACACACACACACAATATATATATATATATATATATATATATATATATATATATATATTATATATAATATTAATATCTGATATATCATAACATAAAAATATCTATTATATTAAAAAAATATATATTAAAAATTCTTCAATAAGCTTCTCAATATAAGACTCCTGCAAATATCTATATCAAACCGCAAAGAGGCCATGTAAACATTAATAATATAACCATTAATAATATAAGACCTCGATCCCATATAACAACAACGCAACTTAAATAATTAAAAAAAATATACGAGAGGCAATGGTGGTGAATGTAAGAGGTAGATGGCGGTAGTAACCAGCACTAACATTATAGGCTGTTTCAAAACATGGCCCCAGTTCAAAGCAGCATATATTTCAAATCGGGTCCATCATTTTAAAACACAATGTAGAATTACATACTCTGTAACACACTCGTTGTACTCCGTATAGCTCTGTATATATTGTTAAGTGTCCCCTGAATGATGACCTTCAAGCGATGGCCTCATCTTTTCCTTTTTTTTTCCTCTTACCCTTCAATGGAGATTTCTTGACGCTGATGAGGGGGCTCTTGATCTAGGGAATTGGATCTGTTCTCCAGTTCCTTGATATGTAATGGTCGGGAACTGACTTTAGGTGTCTGTCTAGCACCTTCTCGAAGCCAGCCAGGGGTCTATTGGTAATTCCTCTTATATATGTTGGGAGGCAGTTGAACAGTCTTGAGCCCCTGACACTTACTATGTTGTCTTTTAGTGTACTCGTGGTGCCACTGCTTTTTCACTGACGGGATGTTGTGTCGCCTGCTGAGTCTTTTGCTTCCGTAGTGAGTGATTTTCTTGTTCAGATGTTGGATTAGACCCTCTAAGATAGTCCAAGTGTATATTATCATGTATTTTTCTCGCTTGCGTTCCAAGGAATACAGGTCAAGGGACTTCAACCGTTCTCAGTAATTTAGGTGCTTTATCGTACTTATACGTGCCGAGAAAGTTCTCTGTATATTATCAAGGTCTGCAGTTTCGCCTACCTTGAAAGGGGCCGTTAGTGTACAGCAGTATTCCAGCCTAGAGAGAACAAGCGATCTGAAAAGAATCATCATTGCCTTGGCATCCCTAGTTTTGAAGGTTCTCATTATCCACCCTAAAGTCGGTACCTGACCAGCTGGGCTGTGGCTCGTACGTTGGATTGCGTGCAGCCAGCAGTAACAGCCTGGTTGATCAGGCTCTGCTCCACCAGGAGGCCTGGTCACAGACCGGGCCGCGGGGGCGTTGACCCCCGGAACTCTCTCCAGGTAGACTCCAGGTATCATTTTCCTAGCACATGTAATAAAGACATTATTTTGACCCTTGAAAATGAGATTCTCTGACATTATCACTCCCAGGTTCTTCACATTAGTTTTTCGCTCTATTGTGTGGTTGGAATTTGTTTTATACTCCGATCCCATTTATGTTTCCTCGAGTTTTCCATAGCGGAGTAAGTGAAATTTGCCCTAACTGAACTTCTTATTGTTTTCTGAGGGCCATTTAAAGACTTGGTTAATGTTCGCTTAGAGATTTGCAATGTCCTCAATGGATGACACTGTCAGGCAAATTCTGGTATCATCGGCAAAGGAGGACACGGTGCTGTGGCTTACATGTATGTTTATGTCAGGTATGAGGATGAGGAACAGGATGGGAACCAGTACTGTACCTTGTGGAACAGAACTTTTCACTGTAGCCAGTTCTATTTGTTAGGAAGTTATAGATCCATTTTGTTTTTCACAAGGTCACTGTATTCTTTAACGACAACTTTAATAATGATGATGATGATGATGATGATGATGATGATAATAATAATAATAATAATAATAATAATAATAATAATAATAATAATAATCTTTATTTCTACAAGTACATGTACAAGGTATACAGACCATAGCTGACATCAGTGACATACTACTATATAGAAAGCCGCTTGTTATGCTGAGCATTTCCCACAAATTAGGTCAGTTTTGTCCCAGGATGCGACCCAGATCAGTCCACTAACACCCAGGTACCTATTATACTGATGAGTGAACATGAAGAGTTAAGGAAACACGTCCTAATGTTTCCACCGGGGATCGAATCACGGACCTAAATGTGCGAGTTAAGTGCGCTACCAACTGAACTACGGGACACTTAGTAACACTGATTTAACTGGATTATTCTAATTTAAATCTATATAATACACTTTATGTGTATGCTTCTAACACGTATGTACCTTAAAGTTAATGGTTGGTTAATGAGGTTTAAATCCTATCTACTACGCGATTGTCATTAAGGCTGGATGTTACCTGGTGACTACCAGTAAAGAATACTTTAATAAATTAAAAGAGGGATTAATAGTAAATCTTGGTGTATATACCCAGATACATACATTTCTCGGTGTATGTAGTATATCCTGTGTGTGTGTGTGTGTATGTGCCAAGACTATTGTATATAATCTAGTACGTTATGCAGTACCTCAATGGAAATAAATCACTCTGACCTAGGTAATTGACACATATGTTTGTAAGTAAATAAGTACGTTGAAACGGGTATACATAAGTACAATGATCTTACATAGTGTAAATTATCTAGGATAACCCCCAAAAAAGTCAGTGACTTATTTCCATTGGGGTCCTTGATAACTGTGCTTATGTGTACCTATACCTAAATAAACTTACCCAAAATAAACCATGGAACAGTGGGGGGTTGAACCCAAGGCAAACGAGTCCAACTTACCTCATAATTTGTAATATTTTACAATTAAGAATAAAACTAAGTATGCCCGAAATGCCTAGCCATGCTAAGCGTTCTAGTGGTACACTCTGTAATCACAATTTTACTACATGTAAACCAAACAATAACCAAATTTCTGTAAACTCAGATTATTATTATAATCAAGGGGGAAGCGCTAAACCCGGAGGATTATACAGCGCCTGGGGGGGGGGATGTGGAAGGCATTCAGGCTTAATTCGGGGAACTGGAGCACAGATCCAATTCCCTAAATCAAGAGCCCCTCACCAACATCAAGGAACCTTCCTTGAGGGGTGTAAACTCAGAGCTGTATAGTCCTTGTGGCTTAGCGCTTCTTTTTTTATTATAATAATAATAATGTAAACTCAGCATTGTAATCCTTATAGAGAATAAACTTTGAATTTGAATTTGAATTTGAATAAAACTCACATACAAGTATAATATAGTTACCGGTCAATGTGGATCATTTTCTTTCAAGTATTGGATGGTTGGCTGGTAACACTACATTATAAGTTTCCTTTCTTGTTTGTTATTTAGCCACAAGTATGTGGCTGCTGTCCTAGTTTGTGAGTGCTACCTCAGCTACACTGGTGTTACTCTCTCAGTAGCTTACGGGAAGAGAGAGAGTGGAGAGGTGCAGCTATGTCTATCTCAGTTGAAGCAAAGCCCCTTTATGTTCCACCGCTGGAGGAGGTGGCTTCTGTTTTACAGAATGGCTTGAAGAAGAATTTTGCTGAAGTGCATGTGTCTGTGGTTGAATGTCCTGATTTGTCTCAGGAACCGTTCTGTTTGGAAGGAAAGGGACTGTGTGGTTCACCTAGGCTGAGTGACGTAGGTGGTGTTCCACATCTCCTTCCAAGTCCACTCAAGGATAAAGTGTATAACATAAAGGAACTTGCTGCATCTGTAGACCTACCGGAGGCCTTCGTGATAGGCGCGGGCGCAGGTCCACACGAGTATATTGGTGTCAACAGCGAGTTAATGGCGAACACTTTAACTGGGAAGACAGCTTCGAATGGTTCCCGTGTTGCGAAGATTGACTCTTCAGGAAACAACGAACTGCTTAAGTTACCTGAAAGTGAAACTGGATGTTCTCTCATGCTGAACATGTTTGCTTGTGAGGGCCGTACTGGTCAGGTTCTTCGGATTTTGGCCAAGAAACGTACCGGGAGCCTCAATTTTGTGACGTGTCTGCGACAAGCACTGACTGACCATTATGGCGATAAAGCAGTGGGTCTAGGAGGGACATTTCGTATGGTACAAGGATCAGCTAAGTGCCACGTAATGCCTGACTTCTCCTCCTCACCTATCAGCTGCGAAGATGAGCTCAATCAATGGCTCCGTTTCTTTGAATTGCCTTCCCCGATGGTGTTCCTGTCTACCTTAGTGTCCAGAGATCCTGGGATGGACCTCCGCCTGGAGCATTCTCACGGCTATGGCAAGGAATATGGAGGACATTACCACTACGATACCACCCCAGAAACTGTGGAATATCAGGGGTTTTACAACGTGGCGGAGTTCATGTACCGTGTAGATAGGCCTAAAGTTACCCATAGCTTTGGCAGAAACTAATAAATGTATTTTCCAAGGAATAATTTACCCTTGGATCAAACTTCATTGCTTTCCATTCCCCAGCGGATTGAGCAATAAATTAAGAAAACAATAATAATACACATTAAATTCACACCAGTAACAATGACATTGTAACTTCCGTATCTTATCAAGTCGTTATATTCTCCCTTGAAGCAGAAAATAAAAATTACATCTGAATTGGTGTGTATACCTTATACAATATTAAACAAATGGTTTTAGTGGTAAAGGACTGGGTGCAATATTTCCTGTCTATTCATACATAGGCCTATGACATTCTGGTGTATCAAGTTATAATCACAATTCATTAAAGGTTTTTAAAATGGGTAATACATGTTTTATTTGCAGCAGTTACCTGATATATATATATATATATATATATATATATATATATATATATATATATATATATATATATATATATATATATATATATATATATATATATATATATATATATATATATATATAATATATACGGCCGTTCTCCACCGAAGCAAGGTGACCCAAAAAAGAAAAAACACTTCAACCATTGCTCACTCCATCACTGTCTTGCCATAGGCGCGCCCATACAACAGTTCCTGGAGTTTTACCTGGAGAGAGTTCCGGGGGTCAACGACCCCGCGTCCCGGTCTGTGACCAGTCCTCCTGGTGGATCAGAGCCTGATCAACCAGGCTGCTACTGCTGGCTGCACGCAATCCAACGTACGAGCCACAGCCCGGCTGGTCAGGTTCCGATGCCTCTCAAAATATAATTTTACGAAGTTTATCCGCATTATCATTTCATAAACTAAAACACGTCAGAAAACAATGGAATGTGAGGCAGTCACATTCGATCCAAGTAATGGAAGAGTAGCTTCAATTCTTTGGCTCAAGAGCCCATCATGGGCACCCAGGCACATAGCCTTGAAGGATACGTGAGCACCAGTAATTGTACCTATGTAGTGAGCTATACCTGGAGAGGGGTTGGGGGGTCAGCGCCCCCGTGGCCCGGTCCGGGACCAGGCCTAGTGGTGGATCAGGGTCTGGTCAACCAGGCTGTTACTGTTGGCTGCACGCAAACTGACGTGCAAACCACAGCCCGGTTGGTCAGGTACTGACTTCAGGTACCTGTCCAGTGCCTTCTTGAAGACAGCCAGATGTATACATATACACAATATACATTGTGTTATACATCCCCTATGTGTATATATACTGCTCAGGATATATACATGAAGACCCCTCGACGGAGGTTCCTTGACGCTGGTGAGGGGCTCTTGATCTAGGGAATTGGATCTGTGCTCCAGTTCCCTGAATTAAGCCTGACTGCCTTCCATCCCCTTTCCCCACAGGCGCTGCATAATCCCTACGAGTTTAGAGCTCCCCCATATTAATACTAATCAGGACATATGTACACGAGGATACATACTCCTCAAAACTTATACATACACTAGGTAACTTGGTGAACCACCCCAGTAATAACAGTAATTGCTGAAACTCGCACAATTCAGCAGATAATTACAGAGAAACTCGTAGTCTCTCAGTTCTTGCCTAGTACATACCTCAACACTGGCTACAGTTGATAATAATAATAATAATCTTTATTTCTACAAGTACATGTACAAGATATACGACCATAGTTGACATCAATGACATATTACTATAGAAAGCTGCTTGTTATGCAGAATATTTCCCGCATATTAGGTCAGTTTTGTCCCAGGATGCGACCCACAAATCGACACCATACCCAACCCTTCTCGAGTAGGGTAGGTGCCTGAGCCAGAGCTTGTAGCTCACAAGACTGTCATTCCCATTAGTCCCCTTGGGGCGGGGATGGCAGACCAGAGAGGCCTAGCTTGTGGCTAGGCCTGGGGACAGTTGGTCCCAAAGATGAGGGGGTACTTGTCCCTCCTCCCATGGGAGACTTAGATCTCAGACACTCCGAAGACAGGGAGCCAAGGCCGGGCCACCACTTGGAAAAGGCCCGGGCCGGGAGAATACCGGAGAATCAACAAGAAGCGACAATGGAAATAAGTCACTATGTGATGCAAATGGAATCATCAGGACAGTTGATGTTTTGAGCAAAGGTGCAGTGAATAAGCGGACAATAAATAAACTAGTACCGTGAGAATTACACAGTGTTGAAAACAAAATTAGTGATTCTCCAGAAACCACACAGACTAAAGCTGTTCAGAAAAGACAAGCAGCAGTGGTGGCGAGTGAGAAAATCAAATTAATGTTAAGCGATGAATAGTTCACCTGCAGCAAACCTCTGCCGCCCCCCAGTGTGGAGAAATTTTCTCCAGGAGGGGGGTATCAGCCCCCTTCAGCCCCTTTCAGCCCTGAGGGGCCCAGCCCTCTCAGAAGGGGCAAATATCTTGTTTACTGTTACAGCAAGTAATTGATCCCAGATGCAGTACCAGTATACGACCTGTGGTCAAGCGACCGCCGCTCCTTGCAGTCCAGTGTTGCAGAGTGTATTTTAATAAGAGACAGTACATCTCTTACCTTAGCAGGACAATTAAGGAAAATCCTGCTCCCACTTTATTACCATAGTAAAGATAGTGGACATTGTTGTCTATGCTTAAGACAGCAAGAATCAAACATTCTGCTTTGCTTTATCGAGGAAGTGGCAAGGAAGCAAAAGTACTATGTCAGCTTTTCCTTTGTGCTGGGGGCAGTGACGGCGTGGGGCGTTGTGGCGTTTTCAGATTACTTTTGACTATACTGAGAGTGACACTGATGCCAGGATAACCAACAAAGAACACTGATCTGTGGGTTAGTGTGAACAAAGTGTCTCACAAAACACAATACACTTAAGAGAAGTGTGATCAACTTCTTTAGTGATAAGACTGTGAACAATAAAGACAAATCTTGTGGAACATAGTGTACCAGTGTGCGTATTCCTAGACTATGGAAGACGTGGACATCCAAGGACATTTCAGCTTCTATCAAGTCACCGATATCTGTCGAAGGTGTGAAGAACACCATAGCTCATGCTACAAGAGCAAGGTAGGTTACGAATTTCTTGTAGTACGGGGGACTGCGCAGTTCTTGAGTCGCAAGGAGTTTGTAATCAACCTATAGTAGGCAGTAAGGTGCGGACTTTTAAGTCCAAACAAGTATGTAATTTGTCAGCAATCAGTGAATGAAATATGCTGACATAACACCCCCTAGGGGTAATTTATAATCTTACAAATTATAACTCTTTACAGCCCGTTGAGAGATGACTTCGACAGCTTCTCAAGACCTCGTCTGCAGGGGCGGCTGTGCAGGCGATGAGCTGTCTTTCTAAGTTAAGTTTCCCTATATTTAAACTTAACTGGTAATGCCATTTCTCAACACTGACTTTTTTGGGTTATCCCAGGTTCTCTACACATATGCTATGTATGATAATCTATGTAACTGTATTTGTGTATACCTGAATAAACTTACTTACCCACACCAGTCGACTAACACCTGGGTACCTATTTTACTGATAGGTGAACTGGGACAGCAGGTGTCTTAAGGAAACACGTCCTAAAGTTTCCACCCGTACCGTGGATCGAACCGCGGTCAACAGTGTGTGAATTGAGTGCGCTAGCGACCGAGCTATGGGACAAGGGTACATCACTACTTATCTCACTGGTATGTTATATGCCTGTGGCTTCTCGTGGCCCAGGAGGTATCACCTTCGGCTCACATCTGAAAGGACCTAGGTTCGAACTCCGCACAAGCTGCAACGCGGGTAGTGATTCCTTACACTGTATGTCCCTGCTCATCTAACAACAGCAGCAGCGGTGTATGACCCTTACGGGTTTAGCGCCTGGTTATGATAATTTAACAACAAATAGGTAACCAGGTGTTAGCTGTTCGTTGTGGGTGGAATCCTGGGGAAGAAGATTCAAGGACCCCAATAGAAATAAGCCATAGTGGTTTGCCTGGGTTACTCTGGGTTAATAGGAGAAAGAAACTTAAAGACATATATATATATATATATATATATATATATATATATATATATATATATATATATATATATATATATATATATATACTGTCTCCCTTACCTTTTTGTGTTAGTGTGTGACTTGTTAATGGTCCAAGTCTGACCGAAACATCGTGTTAAGTATCTCTATGTGCGAGTATTTGTATATTGTACGTATCGTGGTATTGTGCCTTTTTCTTTCTGGGTTAATGACCCTCGTGTAGTAGATAGATTTTAACCTCAATTAACCAAGCAACCAATATGTGTTGCAGCCAGGGTGTCAGTCTTTGGGGTGGGATGTTAAAAATCACAAAATGCAGAAAGAAAATAAAGAAACTCTCTTCTAAAAAACAGGATTTCCAGTGTGTTAAATTTCCTAACCTATCATGCTTACGTGGCCACAAGTCAATACAATACTGTGAAAATTAATCAGTTGGGGAAAAAAAAGTTTGCGTCAGCTATTCCCTGTTTACATTTTGTTTACAAAAACCCTAATAATGGGTATAAAATTATTCTTTATGTGGTGTACAGGTGCCATACAGCCATTGAGGCGCCTGTGGAAGCTATCTGCCTAGTCAAAATTCTATGTTATTATATTTATGGGGGAAGCACTAGGTCCGTAAGGGCCATACATCACCTGGGAAATGGGAGGTAATGAGGTATGATCCAAGGAAGGGGAGAGAAGCTCTAATTCCTTCGATCTAGAGCCTGTCTAAACTCTTGTGCTGGAAAAATATTTTGTTACTGATCAAAGCAGCTACCACTCACCGAAGATGCGGGACCAGGAGCTATGACTCAACCCCTGCAATCACGAAGAAGTGAGTGGTTGCAGGGGTTGAGTCATAGCAGCAAGTCAGGAGTCACTGGTACCGTGGTCCACCACAGTAACACAGACCAGTAAATCTTGGACCAGTAAGCCAGAAGTCACTGGTACCATGGTCCACTACAGTAACTCAGACCAGTGAGTCCTGGACCAGTAAGCCAGAAGTCACTGGTACCATGGTCCACCACAGTAACACTCAGATCAGTGAGTCCTGGACCAGTGAAACCTGGACCAGTGAAACCTGGACCAGCAAGTAGCTATATATTTCGATTCTAGCCTGCCATTCTAATTACTGAAGAAGGTTTCACACGGGAACGAACCGTGTTAAATGAAGGCGTGTTAATCAATGTCCCATCTGTGATATGGATATTAAAATGATCATTTAAACGGAAAAAATGATGGTTTACAGTGGTATTTCCATCCTCCTTGGGTTATTTCTTTTTTTAATACTCTGTTAGCACTGGTGTTCCTGTTGTTGCTGCTACTGTTGTTGCTGCTACTGTTGTTGCTGCTACTGTTGTTGCTGCTACTGTTGTTACTGTTGTTGCTGCTATTGCTACT